TTTAATTACAGGTAATGCGTTTTTCTAAGGTACATAAACTTTTGGGATTGACTGTATAGCCAATACATCCTTAAGAGAATATGCTGTTGTATTACAACGTACAACATTTCTGACGCGTCACTGGAAATACGCTTCACTAAAATGATCATAAATACATGTTGACATGATATACAGGATATTTCACCTAACTTGACCACCACATACGTATAAAGATCTAGATTTGGAAAGAAGAGCTAGGAAACATTGGTCTAATATATTTGGTCGCATCTCGCTTGCAGTATCTGTACGGAGTCATCGGATTGCCGTTTAGGTTTCTCTAAAAATTGGCCACTGGTGCCGGTGTGCTTCGTTTGTCAGCGGCGATGAATCGGGAGAAAAATGTACCCGCCGTGCAGCGTTGATTGCACGCGTCGCGTCGCTACGCGGTTCGCGGTCATTTATTATACACGCCGCGGCTCGGCACACCCGGACGGCATCATATTACGGCGTTTTGTCATCAATGATTAATCATTGACGCAAACAAGAATTTATTGTATTGGCTTCGATTGCTGCGCACGCACAGCAACAGGTATGGTCGATGCGACACACAAGCGCTTGTTGTATCCAACGTACAGACGTTCTGACGTACCAAGTGACTCGTAAATGTAACACTCGCCAGTACTATCTCTACCAATGGATCCCTTAATGGATCGGTGGCGGTTTGTATGCGTAAACGTAATTGGAATGATTCAAGGGAAACGTCGAACCTATTCATTATCAGCCGGTGTAATTAGTTTCTAGTTCTAGTCTCTACGGCCAATTCCATACACATTCATGTGTAATATATGAAGCTACAACATAAATTAAAATTTCAATCATTAATTCATTTCCTATGGTTTGAATTCATTCAATGAATCATTAATTCATTTCCTGTGATTTGTCTCTAGCATTTCTATAATAGGTTTGCAGTTTGTGTGACACAGGAACATGTAAGATTTTTTGGCCCACACATACATACAACCGCTCGTCGTATGCCACAGGGCGATGCGTATCTATCTTTATATGGGGCAAAAATCCAATGAGTTAGGTGTACATATTAGTAATTGAGTGTGGCTGCATCGTTCTCTTTAATCTAATATCTCATGCAATTTTTCATCCATTGACATCGCCACACCTTCTAATAAGCACTGTTAATATATTTATGTCCGCAGTCTTTAATGAGATAAGACGAAACATAAATCGAATTGACGTCGGTTGTATCTCTCTCGTCTCTTAATTAAGTCGTGAATGTAGGTAAGCGATACCCTCTAAGAGATAGAAAAAAGAAACGAGAGAAGATACAAGAAATACTACGACGAGCGTTTCGTTTAATTCGCCGATCGCCGGTTCTCTTTTTTCCGACGGATTGCCTTCCTTTTTCCTCTGTGCAATGTCGTCTGCAGCCGGTTTTAAAGGCTTTCATGTTCATGCACAGCGAGCAAGTGGCCCGGGATATTTTATATTCCTGGCGTTGGTATATAAACGCCAGTTTCATATTTCCGGTACCCGCGCTGACTTCTCCACGCGGAAAAGCCACCGTAGTCTCCATCCGCTCGATTTCTTTTTGTACGCTTTATATCGGAGACATTTCGTCGTTTCCTCTTTCTCTTTGTCGCACAGCGTTACGGTTCGTGTTAAAAATTCCGAAAATCCATTTTTATGTCTTCACAAAATGTAGAGGTGTCTGCAAGTCATTAATTT